TAATTGGATTTGAACAAATTTTATTGGTACTGTTTGGATTAGGACTGAAATTTTAAAATTTGAGAAATTCATAGATTAAACATGATCAAATTAGAGTGGATTGAATGAATCCGTAAATAATATAAAGGACAAGGACTAATGAAAGAAATTGTCCAATAAAGGCCATGATTTAATAGAAGGCTTAATACCAAAATAATTGACCAAAGTATTTTTTGACTCATCCAATTGTCTAACGTTACAAACGTCATCTATTTAGGTATTCGGTCAGTCAACGTCGTTAATTTATCTCGTTAAGTGACACGTGTTATAATCTGGTGATTTTGAAATTTATTTTTAAAAAATATTAAAAAATATTATTATATTTATAAAAATAACTTTCAATTTTTTAAAATGAATACATAATGTTTTGTTTTGTTTCATTTTAGTGCACCGCCCGTTAAAAACTTAACAGATGGGTTGATGGGGCATAGCTCTGTGGTCGGAAGACCAATCTGAATGGTCGACCACGAAAGAATGACGAGTCGACTATCATAGTCCAACTTCAGGCCTATCGGATGGTAGACAACGGAAATCGGAGGATGAAGAAGTTGAGGAGTCATTCATCAAGATGGGAGAGATTAAGGTATTTTTTGGTGAAACGGATGTAGGAATTACGTTCAGGGGGTCAAAAGGGTGCGTATTGGAAAGTTTGGGCTTGATCGGTCGACGAATACGACGGCTTACGAATGTAGTAGACGCTACGATTGGCGAACTTGTCTATTAAGTTTTTAAAAGCGGGATACTAAAATGAAACAAAAATTAAACATTATGTATTAATTAGAAAATATTGAAAATTCAAATAGTGAAACGGACTAAAACTAATACTTTAGATACTAAACGTGTAATTTACCCTTTCATTTGATCTCTGAAAATTCCTAAGGAATAAAAGAAACGTCTCCCTCAACTCATTCTCGTTGTCTCCCACGCTTCTCAAAAGTGGTGTTCCAGCAAAATGGAAAGCAAAAAAGGTTCATTTCAAGCACACCCAAAGATGAACAACCAACCCTTATTTTTCTTCCATTAAAACACTGTCAAATTATCATCTCCTTCTTCGTCTTCTTCTTCATCAAACAAAACCCATCATTGCTGGTTCTAGTTCACAGAGCAATCTAAATTCTAAATGCCTCCTTTGAACTTGGCAAAGAAGCTTAAACCAGCCAGAAAGGCCTGGAGGAGCTTCACCATCAAAGTGAAGTCGAAGCTCGAAACCTTGGACGTCCTAAATTCGATATACATAGACCAGCTTTTGCAATCAAAGCACAAGGAACCACCGCAGGAGGCTGAGACGAGCAGAAGAATCGGCGAAGAAGTGGAGGAGAGTAGCGGTGTGTATAGTATTGAAGATGCACGGAAAGCTGTGATTGCGAAATCACCTCATTTGAGGGGAGTGGATGAACGAGCCGATGAGTTCATATACAAGTTTCGAGAAGAGAGGAAGCTGGAGAAGGAACGAAGTGATCTCGATTTCCAGGAGATGTTGGCTCGAAGTGCATGATCTTGTTGTCGCTTTTTATGAAAATGCAAGGCATGGTGAGGGTTTTGGTCTGATCATATGATTCTATCTATTGTTACTATGACATAGTAAAAATGGGGTTTTGATATTTGTATAGATTGGATTAAGATTTGTGTTTCTTACATATAACAAGGGATGTCTGGTTTATACGATGAATGTTGGATTGTGTTGTTTGCATGGTAGTTACGTATACTGATGTAATTTTTATTGACATGAAATTCATGTCATTCACGTCATTTCTCCTTTATTTCTTTATTTTCATTGATTTTATTTTTTTAGATGAAAGTTTTGCAATTTCACTACTATCTTGTGTCGACGTTGCGATTATTATTCTTCGATTTTTTTCTCTTACTAATTAAGACATTAATGAATTCGTCTTATCGTCTCCTACGACACTCTATTATTTTACATTTTATCTAAATCACTTAAAAACTCATAAAAAATAACCTCAAACCCAAACCTTATGAAACCCTAATCCACTATCTCATCAACGTAAAATCAAGATAACAAATTTATTCTTCTTTCTTTGCCTTCTAACCATTACAATTTGAAAAAAAAATATTTTACCACCGGGAAATAAAAAAAATCAAAAAAAAATTATTAAAAAATAAAGAAAATATGATATCATTTTACAAATTTTAAAAGAGAATTAACTAATCATGATATTATTAGTTATTTAACAACATGACCTAAATAGAAATAAATTAAAAGTTTAATAAGATGGACCTAATTAATATGGACCGACTTGAGTCGTACATCTAATACTAATGTGTGAATCTCTCAGCAGAAATTTTCTGCATACGTTAGGTCGTCTCGAACAGACATATTTAAAACTATATAAATTATTTATTACTTAAACCGACCTAATCTACCCTTGTTTAGGGCTAGCCTGTCTTGTTCTAGCCTTTTGGTTGTAGATTTGGACTAATGTTTGGGCCTTATCATTATATGGGGCTTTGCCTTATCTAAATCATAATGGTCTCATCTGTCAAATCAGGTTTAGTAGTACGTGGTCCTCAACAATATGTGACTATCAGAAATGAATCACAGATCTCGAGGGACTCAAAATTCATTAGACATTTGATAGAATATACTTCTTAATGTATTAAAAGTTTATTAAAAATTTTAAAGATTATATCAAAATTAAATAAAGCGAAAAGGTTAATAATATGAAAAGCAATATCAATTTTATTAAAAAAATAAACGTATTATATGTGTCTTTATGAGCCGAACAATAATAATATGTTTGTATTAAGTTGGTCTTCAATAATTCAATAAGTATACGTTTAAACCAACAATTGGTTAATTAAGTAGGACGAGACACTAAATTTTTTAAGTAAGGACAGAGGTTCGAATTTTGATGATTGTGAATGGAGCAAACTATGTTGGGAGGGTCATCCTCGTCTCTGCAGTTAGGCTGAGCAACGATACCGAGAAAATTAAAAATAGATCCGAACCGAATTAAAAAAATAAAAGAAAAAATATCCAAAATAAATTCATTTTGAATTTATTACAAGACAAATTTAAACAAATAAAATCTTAAAACTAATAACAATTTTGTATAAATTTAAATTTATAAATTTGCACTCGATTTAAGCTTTAGATTTGCCTCTTTTGGAGGTCGAGTTTAAAAAATAGCGAACAATCAAAAACCGTTAAATCGAATTGAACCGAAAACTGTAGTTTTTATGTCATTTGGTTTCAGTTTTAATTTTTCAAAACACGCAATGCGTGGTTCGGTTTATATTTTAGTTAAAAACCGAACCGAACCGAAAATCGTGTTTTATGTCATTCAGTTTCAGTTTCAATTTTTCAAAACCCACAATGCGCGGTTTAATTTAGATTTTAGTGAAAATCGAACCAAATACACCCCTATTTGTAATACCCGATTCGAGTTAGTTGATCAATAGATCGAAAACTAATGGTTATACAAAAAAGTAAGTATATGTTTAAGAGCATCATCAATGTAACAATAGTTCATATATGGTAAATAAATTATCTCCTATCGAAAGCCGAGAAAAAAAGAAGAGATCGAGCGTTTAAGAGATTCAATTTGTTGAAATCTGATCTTATCTCCTCTGAATTATCTGGTAGATCCCTTTTAGATTCGGATTTGAAGAAAAGGTGGGCTGCTGTTTATGTTGAAACGGAGGAGACACTGCCATCAAGTAAGATTTTTGGTAGAAAGTTGGCTGATGTTCTCCAGTCACAAATTGAGTTTGGTGCATGACTATCAGGGGTTGCGTGAGGTCTAAGGTTTTGTTCTATGAGGTTGCGCTGTAGTTTTTAAGAGAAGTTGGAGTTGTTTACGTTATAGTATCGTAGTGTTAGGTTATTAGTAGGTGGTTTTAATTGTTAATCTGAATTGCTGTGGGCTCTAGTCTTGTTGGGTGGAAAGGTGGATTACTCCAATTGTACAGTATTCACCGAAAATTAGGTTCATTATTTCTTAAGGAAGGCTGAATGTGGATGTACTAGTTTTTGCTAATTCATATAGTTCCCAAGAATTCATTGTCTGTAGGGTGAGTTCGTTGTAGTTTTGCAGGAGGTTTTGGGGTGGCAAAACACGGTCATTTTGGCATGTCTAAGAGGAATCCATCGTTGCTATGTTTTATGGTTTATGTGCAAAGTGATGTTTGTTTAAAGGGCTGGAGTTAGTTGTCTTGTAGTTTTTGTTTTCAAGAATCAATAGTGTAGGAGCGCTAAGGTTGGTAGGGCCAGTCTCTTTGGAGCATTTAAAGGAAGCGTTTCTTGTTATGCTCGTCCTTTGAAGTTTTGTTGTTCTGCTTTGGATATGTCTGTTACTCTGCCTTAGTCGTGGTAGCGAGATTTTCCAGCAATTGTTTCAAGAATTAGAAATGAGTGGATTCTGTTTTAGTGGTATGTTGAAGTGTTTTATCCTTGTTAAGGAATGTTTATGCTGCATTTTGCGTGCTGGGTTGAAGATCGATGAAGTAATGGTGTTATGGAATGTTTAGCAGGTTTGGTGAACATGGTTCCTCCTGCTGTTCGGTCATTCCCTATTGATGTGGTGTTCGCTTAAGTTCAGTTTTTGTTGTCCATTTTGTTCTCTTTTCTTTCCGATGCATGGAATGTATGGGTGTTTGTGTGAGTTTTGTTGTGGTTTGGGATATGCATTGTTTGATGTAAGAGCTATCATTGTATTTGATCTCTTCTACCTCTTGGTTCACTCTTTTTTCTCCATTTAGAATTGGGGAGGTTTTTTTAATGAGGTTATTGAGGTGATGTACTTTGCATTTATTTACAATACAAAGTACCCTCTTTCAAAAAAAAAATTATCATTAATCAATAAAGTGACCGAATCATAATAATTAAAAATTGAGTAGCTAAAATCAGAAAGAATGAACAAAAGTGACCTCTATTGTACTTTTCCCTAACCATAAAAGGAAAATTATTCCTATTAAATTTCGAAAGAGTTCTTCCTGATGGCTGCTTACTTTTACATGTAAAATTTTGTCCTCCAGTCGTCCCCATTTTTTTACTTCATTTTCAAAGCGGCCATGTCTTTCAGAGGAGTAAGTTCTGTTTTCTTATGAATCCTTTAGATCTGATCTTGTTTGGGTTCTTTTAATTCTCTTTGTTTTAGCTTTAAAATGAGGTGATTTCGTATTTTCATGCTGAAACTTAAAGAAAGTTAAGGTTTGTACTATATGGGTATAATTTGTTTGGGGAGGTTGGATTTTCCATGACTAGATATAACTTATATCTTAGCTTTTAGTATAGTTGTTGAATGTACCTTTTTTTATGATTTCAGTTTGGGTTAATGAAATATTAGAATATTATATTATATTTGTTTTCATTTTCAGTAATTAGATTTGATTTTGTACTTTTTTTTGGCATCTTTATCCCAATTGCAATGGTAGCAGGATTAGGGTTTTGAAGTACTTTTTCTATTGGTTTGTTCACCTATGAACTTGAAATTGTTGTATTTGCATTGCATTAACCTCATCTCTTATATTGGCATCTATAGTACTTGTGAAAAGTGATAAGAGTTAGAAATTAAGGATTGTGTTGGAAAATATCGTTTTGGGTCCTTGCACATTGTGAGACTTTCTCTCGAAGCACTCGCTTTTGCATCCTGGACATGTTCTTATAGTGTTCATTGAACAGAGTTTTCTATTGCCGAAAATTAATGTTCCTTTTTATATTAAAAGTGGAGTTGAATTGAACAAGTAGCGATTGGTTCTGGTTTTTAGGCAAATGCATCATCTGGCATGGGAGTGGCTGAAAACAGCAAAAACACGTACCTGGAGCTGCAGAGGAAGAAGGTGTTCCGATATGTGATCTTTAAGATTGATGAGAAGAAAAAGGAGGTTGTTGTTGAAAAGACTGGAGATCCATCCGAGAGCTACAATGATTTCACTGCCTCATTGCCCGAGGCTGATTGCCGCTATGCAGTTTATGACTTTGATTTTGTGACTTCTGAGAACTGCCAGAAGAGCAAGATCTTTTTTATTGCATGGTCAGTTTCCCTTTTCCTTTGAAGAATAATCCGATTCTGTGGAAAATCATGTGCTGCATTTGCATTATAACTCTGTCTGATTTGATTGTAAGTTTGTACCCATGTTGTGTGTGATTAGTGATTACATGGTGTTTTATCACCGGTCCTGTGTTCTGGTGCATGATTAGCTTATCTAATAGAATATCGAGTCAAGTATATCTGCTTCAGTGTTCTCTTTAAGGTTCATTAAATCAAGTTGTTTGACTCTGAAAATCACGAAATGACCTTTCCTTTTGTGCCGTGGACGGATGTTTTTGTTGAATTGTAAGAGAAAGCCAAGAGAGTGAATGCTAACCGTGCCTGTTTTTCTATTTGTCGTCTGTGGTTTTCGGTATACAAGGCTGACTCAATGTTCTCTTGTAGGTCTCCTTCTGTTTCAAGGATCCGTTCCAAGATGCTCTACTCAACATCCAAGGACCGGTTCAGAAGGGAATTGCAAGGCATTCATTATGAAATCCAGGCAACCGACCCAACCGAGATGGATCTCGAGGTGATCAGGGAGCGTGCACGTTAGGTGTTGAATCCCGTCATTGGTTTTGCATGCTTAGGGATCTCCCTTGCTTAAATTAGTTATTAAGTGAAGCTATCTACCATATGTTTTTGTTGTTAAAATAACACCTAAGAAGGCTGATTTCGAGCTCCGGTGTTTGGAACTTGGACTCCTCATTGCCATTATGCTTCTCAGGTGAAAATGAGGTGTTGTAATGAATATTTTGACTCTTAATGAAATTTAATTTCAATCACTTACAATCCTTCATCATTTTGACACCCACTAGTTTTGTTTCTTTTGAAGAGTTCTGGTGGTTGAAAAGAACCACTACCAAAACAAATTAGAGGGTATTCACTATTTATGATGCTTCGATTCTTCATTTTATCTATTTCTAACACATACACATCTTCGAATATACGAGAATAAATTCGAGAAAAAGAGGTGGCTACCATCCTGAAAATGATGGATGATGCCATGGAAGTCCACAATGATGGCTTAAAAGTCGCAGAGTTTTACGTGGAAACTTAACCTCTTGCTAGCTCTTGCTAGCCTAGGGCGATAAGTTTGATCACACCTTAACTTGTCAACAGTACTACCTTAGGTCAAATCTTGTTATCAGTCTGTGTTTAATGTAAATCATGCATTTAGTCCTTAAATTTTAATTAGTTTTCGTTCGCTAATTTGGTCGTTTTTGTTTTATGTAATTTAGTCATATTATCCATGTATTGTTGAGCTAAAATCGAAGAGTGCAGGGAGAAATCGAGTAATTTAGAGTATAATGGCTAAATCTATAACTTACACACAATACAGGGTCTAATGATGAAATTTCAACTAGTGTTTATCACAAGCAGACAACAATTGCAATTGTGATTGTGAGACAGACATGCATGAAAATAAGCAAACTTTGATTCAGAACATGACAAAAGGGATTAGGATTTGGGTTGAATTTAAGATTCTCAACTGTTCTAGTTTCTTGTATGATGATCAGAAAAAATGGCAGCTAGGGAGAAACGTTTAGATTCATTCACTAAAAATATCACTCATAAAACTTGGGATTTAGGCAGCTGGCTAGTTTCTTCTTCCTAGATGATCTCAGTGCAATTATTCTTCAGTCAAAAAGTAAAAAAAAAAAAATTATTACATGACCAAAGTGTGAATTGAATGAGACAGAGAGAGAAAGACGGGAGAAAAAAGGAAAACCTTATCTTGAGGGTAAGTTCTACAGTGGATCCACAAAGCAGACACGATATGCCTTCCACCATTAAAAGTCCCCACGTGATCTTGGGCTATTTGACCAATTTTCTCTAATATCCTCTTTCTGACACCGTTTGACCAATATTTCCCAAAGTAGCATCATTTCTGTTGAGCTGACGAAAGGCGCGTCCCCGGGGACGCGTTTTACCCGTGTTTCGCTGAGTTGGATGCCACGTGTGGAAGGCGCATCCCTGGGGACACGCCTTCACTGACTCGACTGCCACGTGTGGAAAACGCATCACCGGGGACGCGCCTTCCATTAAATGCAATAAATGTCCCCATCCGTTTTCCCTAACTACCCCTCTCCTCCCCTATATAAACCCCCTCAACCCTCCCTCATTCTTCACACCAAAATCATATTCTCATCTCTTACATAACTCAAATTCTCCAACTATTTGAGTTTTAAATTTGTTATTAGTGGTAAGAAATTTATTTTTATGTTAGTATTTTTTAAATAGTTATTATATTTTATATTAATATATTTATGTAAATATTATTTTTTATTAAATAATATTTATAATTATTATTTATTTAGAATTATTAATTTTTTTTTGCTAATTATTGTTTTGTCTACAGTTATAATGGAAAACGAAATGCTGTTGCGATTGGATATTGATCATATCTCCAGACATTTTAGCGATATGGTAATATTTTTTTATAATTAATGTTAATATTTAATTTATTTTTATTTTAAAGTTATTATGAATTTATATTATTTTTTTTTTTATAATGTATATTATTTAGGATACTGATCGTATTTTAGAGACTTTTATTAAAAATCCACGTATACCGACACCAGAACGTATTTTGCCATATTTGGCTTCTGCTAGGTTCGGGTATATTGCAACAATTATAGGCGGTTATAAACTCGAACATGTCCTAATTTCTGCACTGATTGAGAGGTGGAGGCCCGAGACACACACTTTTCACCTTCCATGTGGAGAGGCCACAATTATATTGGAGGATGTATCTATGCATCTGGGGCTTCCCGTCGACGAAAATATGATGTGTGGTATGGCGGATGGTGATTGGCAATCAATGTGCATTGATTATCTTGGAGCTGCTCCGCCAGAGTTTAATGGAGGTAGAATAATTTTATCTTGGTTGAAAGCTAATTTTGAGGTTTTAAATGAAAATGCTTCAGAGGATCAAGCAAAGATATGTGCTCGGACATATATTCTACGAATAATTTGAGGAATATTGATGCCCGACAAATCTTGCAACCAGGTGCATTGTATGTGGTTGCGGCATCTGATCGATTTTGATGAAGCTGGAAGATATAGTTGGGGCGCTGCAGTTTTGGCATTTCTCTTTAGAGAAATGTGTCGGGCGACGAATTATAAGAAAACTGCTATCGGTGGATGTCTTCTGCTTCTACAATCATGGGTGTGGTTCCGCATGTCTTTCTTATGCCCGATCGTGAATGAACCATACGTATTCCCCTTATTGTTGAGGTAATTTTCGAAATAAATTTTGATTTAAATATTTTCAATTAAATAGGGTTATATTTAGTTTATATTATAATTCATAGGTGGTCGATGAAAAGAAAGGACCATAAAAGTATACCTACTGGGTTAGAGGAAATTCGTTTACTTATTGATACGAAAGCTGGGTCTGAGGTATGTTTTTAAATTTGTTTAATTATTAATATTTTAATTTAAAATGCTAGATATTATTAGAATATTTTATTTATTTGAATTGTATATTTATATTTCAGTTTCAGTGGATACCTTATGCGAGCGATGAAGTGAAAGCTTGCATCCCACCCCACCTTAGTGGGTCATTAGAGGTATGGATATCGGTTATACCTCTTATATGTTATGCTATTATTGAGTGGCATCCAGTTGATCGCGCGCTCCGTCAGTATGGTTGTACGCAATATATTCCTGGAGCACCTAGGAATTTAGACGACGTGCATAACATAGATAGACGAGGAAAGAAAGATGTTAACTGGGTGGTGAGACACAGAGATTGGATTGCGCTTTGGGAGAACCGATATACACTGTTGGCCCCTCGACAATATTACGCTGAAACTGGTCATATGGTTACGGATAACTATATGGACTGGTTTAATGAAAATGGGAAGCCGTTTCTACTTTCGGCGGAAGCACGAGGGGTTAACATTCCTAGGCGCCGAGAAAGACGTCAACCGTCTCAATATCATCGTCCCCCGACGCGTGGACGGAGAGAAGGCGTTACCGGTTCTGCATCAGTCCCACCACAACATCCTTATTCGTCGATGCCGCAGGGGTACATGCCCAGCCCTCCACTTCATATGCCAAGCCCACCAGTTTATATGCCATCTCCGCAGGGTTACATTCCGAGCCCGCCAGGTTACATGCCTAGCCCGCAGGGTTTTATACCATATGGAGGTGCATATACGACTATGTTTAATGATTCATCATATGGTTCATATGCATCTTATTTGGCTGGTGGTGCTTCTCCGCAGACACCTCAATCTCCATATGGATCACAGACATCGATGCCAATGTTTCCACAGTTTTCACAGTTCCCGGGGAGCGGTGGGATTGTTACTAGCACTCCTCCAGGGTCGTTATTTTATACAGGCCCTTCAGCCCCTTCAGCGTCATCTACACCAAATGAAGAAAATGTTGCTGATGATGATAGAGAAGATGATGAGACTGAAGAACAAGTTCCACGAAGAAATCCTCCATGAAATAGACAACCACCGCCATGTGGAACTCATTCGAGAAGACGACATCGGTGATCCAGTTGTATTTAATGTTATTTAAATAATTATATTTCAGAATTTTATGTAATTTGGTTATGTTATTTAAATGTTTCATGGTTGTTACATACATAATTTTAATGTTATTTTTTATTCACATTTAACATTAAATGTTTGATAAATGTTTTTAAAATACAAATTATATTATTCGAAATTTAAAATAAAAATAAAAATAATATTATTCGAAATTTAAATTTAAAATATAAATTATAGTATTCGAAATTTAACATTAAATTTCAACTTAATATTCCAATTGTATTTGAAATTAAAAGTTATATTCCAATTATAGTTCACAATACTTAAATTGAAATTAAATTTATCCATACATATGATTTTATCATTAACATATATATTAAAACATATACATTAAAATCAACTTATATTGAGTTAATCGATCGACGAAATCGGCCAAGAGGGGGGTGAATTGGCAATTTATTCAATGTCACATTTCAATGCTCATTCCATACAATTTCAATGGCACAATCAACTTATCACTTCACATTTATTCAATTTATCCATAATATTTTATCTAATTTATTCAAACTTCACATAACGTTTTAATTTAAGTTATTCTTAACTTGCTGAACTTTCAAAAGAAGTTAAATTTTGGTTATAATTTACCTGATTTACTGATATATAGTGTCCCCGAGGGACATGAGTGACATAATAGGGCAATGATAACATTCTCTGACAAAATAATGGAAGGCGCACCCCGGGAACGCGCCTTCATGTGAATAGTGAAATAATAGGTACTGATATATCTAGTGTCCCCGAGGGACATGAGTGACATAATAGGGCAATGATAACATATTCTCTGACAAAATAATGGAAGGCGCGCCCCCGGGAACTCGCCTTCATGTGAATAGTGAAATAATAGGTACTGATATATCTAGTGTCCCCGAGGGACATGAGTGACATAATAGGGCAATGATAACATATTCTCTGACAAAATAATGGAAGGCGCGCCCCCGGGAACGCGCCTTCATGTGAATAGTGAAATAATAGGTATTGATATATCTAGTGTCCCCGAGGGACATGAGTGATATAATAGGGCAATGATAACATATTCTCTGACAAAATAATGGAAGGCGCGCCCCCGAGAACGCGCCTTCATGTGAATAGTGAAATAATAGGTACTGATATATCTAGTGTCCCCGAGGGACATGAGTGACATAATAGGGCAATGATAACATATTCTCTGACAAAATAATGGAAGGCGCGCCCCCGAGAACGCGCCTTCATGTGAATAG